ATCCTGCCATAAATAGGGAGACAAGTTCCAATAAACATATAAATTGGCTCCTAAGCTATACGGCCTCCTTAAAAAGTTTTCATGAAGATGCTATTTCCTGAATATTTCCGAAACGCCATGAGATAAAATGATGCAACCTGAAATGAAAACTAAACTTTCTATGCCCAATGCAGTGAAAATGATATTATTCCAAAATTTCATTCAGGTGTGTTTAATACAGGGTGGGACTACATTGAATATTGCTCAAACTTTCACCCACTCCTTATGCATAACGTTGCCAATTTTCAAATCATATACCCGGAATTAGCTTGCCATTCATCAATCATAATGTAATGTCTGGCTCCACCATCCCCACCAAGCCCACCATATCTATGCTCGGTATTTCCATCAGCAACACTCTTTCATGGGATAATCATGTCAGATCCATCGCAAAAGCTGCTTCACAAAAACTCGGATTCTTGTTCCGTGCGAAAAGCTACTTTACACCTCAACAGCTTCTCATGATCTACAAAGCGCAGATACGGCCTGTTCTAGAATACTGTTCCCACATATGGGGTTCAGCACCAAAACATACGCTGATGCTCTTAGATTCCATCCAGAGAAGAGCCATTCGCCTGGTGGGTGATGCCACACTCACTCAATCTTTGACATCTTTGGAACACCGTAGAAAAGTCGGCGACCTTTCACTTTTCTATCGATACTTCCACGGGAAATGTTCCTCGGAAATCTCTGCTATCATCCCTTCACTAGCAATACCAATCAGACGAACTAGACAAGCCCAGTCAGCACATCCTTTCGTTGTCAACCTCGAAAGATGTCGAACAGCACTTTATCAGGACTCCTTCATCCATAGAACGGCTAGGCTCTGGAATTCATTGCCTGTGGAAGTATTCCCAACAACATATAATCTCCAAAAGTTCAAGAAAAATTCCAATACCTACCTCCTGTCCCTATCCTCCCTAGGAACGCACGATGTTCTTTGAACATTATAGGGATTCCCTTTCGTGCGCTCCAAGCGATAAAAAAAAAAAAAAATAAGGGAGCTACAGTCCCTTATCAGGGCCATTTGAAATATTTGAGATGTAATATAACCATGTTTGTACAAATTACTGTAGATATAACAGTGGAAAAAACGTTCATGAGAAATATCAAATAAGGGAAGGTTGATCATTAGTGTTCACCCGACGGAATTTGAAAGATTTTTTTTTCGAATTTCGAAGTCTCTATATTGTGGGAACCCCTTTTTGAGGAGGCCGCGGGGCTGTAGCCCCGGATGACCTTCCTTACATCCAGCACTGCCTAGTCAACATGACTCAACCTAACCAACCTACACTATCCAAACCACATTACATTCTATGATAGGTACCTACCCATTCAGGAAATCATTATCTTAGAATGAAATTAGTTCATCTGCTTGCATATTGCCATATTTTTGTTGCACACAAGGTGCAAGAAGTATTCTCAGGAGTATCTGTTCATTTCAGTAAAATCAGCATTTTTTTATAGCGAATCTATACCTACATACCTACTTCCCGATTTTTTATAAAATCGCCAAAATGCATTTTTGTGGATTAAAAATTATTTCTTCTTATTGAGGATTCAGATTTGAAACATATCAAAACCATTTCGGGACCATACAAACTTCATAATCATGGAATACAAATTTGAGATAACCATATTTCATTTAAAGAGAGATATTATGTTTTTATTCATCGAATCTCACAATAATTTTTATATCATCCTGTATTCACTCCATTTCGAGTTTTTGTATCCCGACACTTCACATCATCCAGACAAAACCATGTTCAATCTGAAGAGAGAGATGTTTTTATTCATCGAATCTCACAATAATTTTTATATCAATCTGTAGTTACTCCATTTTGAGTTTTTGTATCCGGAAAATCTCACATTATCCAGAACTATATCCACACAATGTGAATTTTTCAAAAAACATTACGAACATGTTATTCATTCATTAGTTGAAAAAATACGACAATTTGAAGAAAAATATTCATCTTTGACATTAAAAAAAATCGAAATTATTTCCATAAGATAAGAGATCGAGCTTCATGATCATGGTCGAAAAATAATATGAAAAATATTTGCTCGAACAGGAACGTAACGACAACGTTCAAATTTACACTATTCCAATTATTCTCATCATGTAGATCGTTCATTTAGTATATTCGTAGTTTCATATTGCTATATATATATATATATATATATTACTCTGACGAGTACCTAACTGAAATATTGGGATAGCCAACAGTAAAAACCAAATACCAATTGATCCACGAGGCCACGAGTAATTCGATGTTGAAATCGGCCTATAATTTGGACCACACGACGTTCATTTTGTTGATCAGTTCAGATAGAACATGGTATTCATTCCTGAAATCTGAGTAATGAAAATAGTGAAGTCATCAAGATCAATTATAGAAGAAACACCCTGCAGATCACATATTTTCCTGTGTCAACTTCTGTCACTGAGAAGTTTCAAGAGACGGAAACGAGTACATCAACTGCAATACCATTTTTTTTTTCATGTCGAAAACGACAGCAAATTTTGATATAGTTGTAAATCTCTTTCAGGTATCGTAGGTTGGTATGGTAGATGGTATGTCATCATACCCAGAATTTCCTTATTTTTTTTAAATTCGATTTCTACTTGACGCTGTTACACTACCTACACTAGGTACACTATTTTTTCTACTAGCGTGCGGAAAAAACCCAAGTATTGTGTGCCAGTGGTTCCACTGTGGAACCACCTATCAAATGATTTTTTCCTTGCGGACAAGTAAGCTTCAACTGAGAACACATTTCCACATGCTGAGTAGTGGGGGTAGGTGGTCACACTGAGTGCAGTTCCAATCCTAATTCGCCATTTGTAGTTGAATGTTTATAATTCTGGATGTTTATGTCCACAGTGCATTAGCACGGAGTCATTTGATTTGCGTTCTCTGGCTGAGTTTGATGATATGGCAGGTATGTAAATGGTTATTTTTGTTAGTTTCAATGTACATGAACATACTCCTACATCAGTTTGCTGAATTTTACAATTTTTCACTTGATTTCTGGAAGTTTTGTGAGGTGGTCCCATGCGGGACCACCAGTACACTCCTATAATATTTTTTGTAGTACACTTCTATAATATTTCTTGTACTTCAGGCAGATCATTTGATATTTCTGAGCTGAACAAATCACCAGTAGATGATCTTTTCACCTTATTGAAGAAAATTCCATGGGGTGATGAATCCGTTCAGTCAGTTCACATGGACAATTTTTTCGATTCTGTTTTGTTACAAAGAAATCTGCAGAAATACAACATTTATAGTTGCGGTACTGCACGAAAAGATAGGAAATGGTTTCCAAAGAATTTGTCAGATGATAAATGTATAAAGAGGGGTGATTAGGATTGGAGAATTACTGACACTGGAATAACTGCTCTCAAATGGAAAGATAATAAACCTGTACATTTTCTAAGCAAAGAAGTCAGGCTTGCTGTTGCGAATGGGCTGATTGGAGCGGATCCCCCAACTCCCCAGAGAGGCAGAAAGGGCCTTGAGCTCATTGTCAACAAAATATGAGTTATATGTTGCCTTAGAACGACGTATAAGTAAGGCCGCGCACATGCCAATCCATAGCAATAAGGTCAGATGCGCCAACTGTAGTTCGAAGAAAGAACTGCATAAATCTAGATGGCACTGCTCTTCGTGTAACGTTGGACTATGTCTTACGAGTATCAAAAACTGTTTCGAATCATTTCATAAAAAATTACTCATAACTCTCCATAACATCATGTTTCTTCTGGCAAAATAAATTTTCAACAATTACTGAAATATTACCATTATTTCCCCAGTGATGCCTCAATGGAACCACCTGATTCTGTCAAATCTTTGTGTGCTATAATTTTTTTTTCATCAGGAAGTCGTTCAATTGATATATATAGAGTATAATTTTGACCTCAAAATCGATTTTTTCGAAAAAAAATAATTTGGGCCACAAAGGGTTAAGAGGAATAAGAAACATTTATTATTTAATACATAGTTCGCGAATTAATTATTAATAATATTGATATTAAACGTGCAATTTGTTGCATTCTGCAAATTAATTACAGAATAAGCTAAAGTTTTTTCTAATGAAGTAATATTACGGTTTTCCATTGCTTTGTCAGCAACCGTGAACATTGGAACTTGGATGGAAGAGGTCATTTCGGAAGGCTTCACTGGTAACAGCTGCTGACTAGTGGACGGGCCAGCGACAGCGTCACTGAACTTCAATATTTTATTCGATAGGTCCTTTTGGAAACTTTATGTCATTACGTAAATCACAATCTTACAAATATAAGTCTTGAGTATTAAAATTTCCGTATATTCCCTTAAAACTTAACGAATTTACTTTTCCGCACTGAGGGCGGAAAACACTTTTTTCCCGCACTCAGTGCTGAAATGACGTACGCTAGTAGAAAAAATTATTTACTAACCAAGGCCGTTTTCCATACAGTTGCTTACTGCTGATGGATGTGGATGTAAGGAGAGAATACAATGAAGATGCAGGTTAAATATGCAATATAATGAATGAAAGTAATTTTCCACGAGAATGAAATCATACGACTGGGAAATAAGCATTCCGTGCAAGTTATACACTGTACTTTTTCGACGGCTGTAACAGATAACAGCAACATTTTAGATTTCTTTGGCTTGTAGCCATCTGATTTACCCTTATGTAATGCTCATCTACTAGACAGAGCTGCCATTGCTTGAAATTTGACATTTCATGGGAGATGAGATTGTGTCAAATAATAACACAATGAAGTTATTGTGATATCAGATACGGAAATAAAATTGATGACATACAAAGTACCTCATTGATTCATCGAACACAGTGAAACAAGAGCCATTTTGTTCTATAGCTGTAGAAAAATAATATTGTTTGCATGCAAATCATATGCCCAAACCATGAATACAAAATTATGTAGAGGTCTATAACTAGGTACTCACATTCAATAACTTTAAATGGTTCTTCTTATCAGAACTCAGGTATTTGTATGTCTTCAAATTCTCGATTTCTGTCATTATATGATTTTTTTTCTAGAAAATGACGTATTGACAAAGTCTTCTTGATAGATTATGTCAAGGCAACATGGTGACAATGGTGACAAGGACAATTCGGACAATACTTTGAGTTTGAGTTTTGATCTCGATTTGCCACATTCATGGAAAAAAATTGAATATACCTACAGGGTTATCCACGTTTGAGTGATGACGTCTGTAACAATTTCTCCAAATGGAACATCCTACATGTTATTTGATTTTCGCATTCTTCATGAGAAGTTTAATTCAAAAATATATCACACGTAGGGTTTGTATTCAACGCGTTCCATAAATTCAGTGCTCTCGTGAATCAGTAAATGAACCTTAGTTATATCCTGTACTAGCCTACAACATTTGATCACCAAATATATGAGAGTAGATGACTACTTGTATCGCATCTTCTAGAGATTTCAGAAAAGTGATGCCTGCAGCAAGAATACGATGCTTTCTAAGAATACTTGTAACTGCAGGATCATTATCTTGATTTTTCTCAAGGACACATTCAGCGATTCACTTGCTTCAAATGAATAGTTTCAATAAAAATCAACACAAGATCATCATTCATATTTCACCTAGAAAAATTAGGAATAATTTTTGGAGAGAATGCTCGAAACCTTCGACTTTTATTTTAATTTGGTCCAGTCATACCATAGAATATGGATCGAAGAACACTGCATACACTTTAGAATTCAATCGATACATACAGGATGATTCGTGTATAGAAGAAATGACAAAATTTTTTAAGAATTTATTCTTTAGAGAGCACTGAATTTAACGAAACTAACCCAATATGATACATTTTCGAATTAGGATGGATATTTCAAAAATCAATATATACCCTAATAACACACTTATGTCCCATGGATATCCTTAGGACGTCCTGTCGAGACATTCAGGACGTCCATAGGACGTTCGAATTTGGTACCGTGGACGTCCATTGGACGTCTGTGGGACGCACAAATGTCCCACTTGAGGACCAACTAGGGACGTCCTTGAGGGATGTCCATGGGACGACTATCGAATACCTAAATCCTACAGTATTGCTCATCAAGCACTACAGAGGACATCCTTAGGACATCCATAGGACAACCCATCAGCAACGCTAAGGGATATCAATTGGATGTCCATAGGATGTTCCAGGGACGTACGAATTATTCTTGAATTTGAATTTTTCTGGGTCCCTCTAGGACCAGATCATGCATAACTGATTAGGACATCCATTTGAGTTGATATGGTCCGTAGAAGGTCCCCAAAAAGTTTCCCAAGGATGTTCAATGGACTTACGTGAAGGACATTGACGAGGAGTACTTATATATAGCCTACGAGCAATCATTCGTCGGCGAGGTCTAAGTTAACGTCCTCGCAGGGACAACATATTGAAAGTACCGACTGGGACGTCCATAGGACGTTATTTCTAGGACATTGGAAGAGTACAGTCCATGTACCAATTAGGACATCCGACGGATATCCCTAAGGGGCATTCGAAGGATGTCCCTAAGGGACATTTCGATTGTTATACGATACTGGAAATATTAAGGGCGTCTGTGCAGAGATATTTGAAGGAATGTACCATCAGGGACATTTCATGGTTGTCTAGAAGGGACATTATATGAGATCTGAAGTCATGCCAGAATATGTACTACTCGGGACATCCGATGGATGTCCCTAAAGGATCGTTTAAAATCATATCCCATCAGGGACATGCCAAGGACGTCCTTGCATGGACATTCTACAATATGTACCACGTGGGCCGTCTAAGGGATGCTATTTCTAGGACATTTGAAATGATGTACCAGCTGGGACATTTTTGCTCGGACATTGCATGAGATGTACGGGATGGGACGTCCCAAGGACACTTATTTTTGGTTTGGGACATTCGAACGTGAATTGTACCAAATAGGGACGTCCCTAGGACGTTGTGTGCTATTAGGGTAGAGTGTTCAGATTTGAAAAAATATATAAAACATAATTTGTCCCTCATCACGCTTTCCGGGATCACCCTGTAAACTACCGACGGGGGTGGGCCTCTTAAATAGATAACCCTTTACCTACCGACCTTCATGATCCACTAATAGGTATCTTTTCGTTAGCATTCTCAACATTGAAACATGACATTCCTCCTGTTCAACAGAAAATACCTTCCGAATTATCGCTACTCTGAGGATATAAATAATAGTTGGTACAATGGAATGAGAAAATCGTTTCGACACATAATAAATTCAGTGATGATCTGTTCTTTCGTGTGATTAAGGTAGCTTCTGAGTAAAATAGCTTTATTATAGTACTAAAATATGGGCAATTTGTAAATTAAAGATTAGTGTCCAGTACAAGCGACATCTCAACACATTTTATCCCACAGAGAAGCGGCAGTCCGATACTTGTAATTCATTGTTATCACTTGTTTATTAACGGTTTTGTGTCGGGAGAATTCTGTATCTAAAGTGCTCAAAGATACAAGTGGACCACTGAAATATTTGGCAATTTTCAAACTGCCATATCTCTTTAGAAAATGAATGGATTTTCAATCGGAATGCAGTGCTTGGAAGATGCCATCTTTCTGTTCAAGATTACCCGTTCAAAACTCGTCGGGAGTTTGTCTGTCATACACCAAGTGTTCGAAAAAAGTATTACAAACGTGAGAGAATTCAAACGCTTCCGTATTCCAGGTAATTTTTTTATTTTTCTATTAATCTTTTTTTTCAACGTTCAAGCCGATATCTCGAAACGGTTTTGTAATTTTCCATATTCCATATATACAGGATGTTCAAAACCGATAATTTTTCATTTTTAGGTTTCTATCACATCATATCCGATTTTAAAATTATGCAAGCCACATTCAACGTATTGCACCATTCTATACGAAGGAACACATCCTAGAAAATGGATTCATATTGCGTTGAAATCATCGACAACTTCAACAGAAGAAAACATTATTTTTTTGGAGAAATGTTCAGAATTTGGTGAAATCGTCTGTTCAGTTTGGTGCTGCCAAAACCATATGCTATACTAAACACACATCCTTCATTTGGATCGATTGCTCAGCTCAATATCTCGAATTGATTTCGTGATTTTTTAGATAAGGCAATCCAAGGGGGCACAAGGAGGCCCTTCTGGTTTTTTTTACCAATTCATACATTAACGATGCTACAATGGTTTTAAGATATTCCTGAGCTGACATGGAGTCAAGGAACCTATTTATCACAAGATTTTTCATCGCATAATCGAAAATCAATGGAAAAAGTCGATTTCTTGTGATCAACACTCATTAACGCAATTAATACTACACAGTGAAAAAAAAATTACACCAGTTCACACCAGCTAACACCCTTGGGTGTCCCCTGAGGTCCTGATCATTTTAGTGGGAATTAACTCTGATATTTTTAACACCATCATAGGGTGTCATTCGTTCTTACATACAGTCAAGAACTACACTAGAGTATCTAGAGCTAATTTGATCGATTCGTGTTATTCAACACCAGAGTGGTGACTGTTCAATCATTTGGTGATTATTTTGACACTGTATCTGTTGCGTTTTTGCTTTTACTGATGATATTATGATAATATGTGAATATTTGTCGGATATTCTTCTGTTGTGAAAACACACTTATCGAGTGTTATCACGCTGAGAAGCAGTGTTTTCTTGTATGCATCTGAGTGTTGAATAACACGACTCTGATGTACTAACATTAGTATTCAGTGTATAAAACGATCCAGTGTAGTGCGAATTGTGACTTACAAAACATCTCTGAGCTGATACTATTTGTAGGCTGTCGAGAAACGTGCGTCGAAGGAGCGCTAGTGTCACCATCTATCAAGAAATTCACTAAATATTTTTCTGTGCACAAAATTTCTACTTTGATATTCAATTTTATGTTCAATCTGGTTCGATATAAGTACTCTATATCACTTCGCAATATAAAAATCATCATATATAATTTATGAATCAGCTCAAAATTTATTTGAGTAATGCATTATTTTCACGAAATCATCCGTTCTTATTGTTACCTATCAATCTGGATACCAGAATTCTTGGATGATGATATACCTACACGATGTCGATCTATTCTTCAATGAGTTCAGGTTTTTCTGTGGGTAATTTCATTATCAGCAAACATTATTTATTCACATGGGAGAATGCAAGACGATGATGCCCCAAATCTCATAATTCATACACGGTTCTGATTTGTTTGTGATTGGTGAGGGTGTAACTAGGTCATAATTTTATATAATAAGTGTATTTTTTGCGTTAACTTGGATGATACCACTATCGAAAGTAATTACTTTTCATCCTGTGTAATTTTTCACTATGACTGTGTGAATTGACACCACTGTACACGGTATTATCAAATTTCTAATAATATTGGTATGAAATTGCTAAACAAGTGTTGATTCAATCGGAGTTATTTCTGAAATCCACTCGGTTGAAATTACACCCGGAAATTTTCCACTGTGTACTGCAACACCCAATATAATGCCTCCTGTCGAACCTTCGACCATCTTCGACAAATGTTATCATCGGTTCGACATCAGGGCGCATTATATTGGGTGTTGCAGTAGTATTGATTGCGTGTTGATTACAAGAAATCGACTTTTCCGTTTGGTTTTCGATTAAGCGATGAAAAACCTAGTGATAAAGAGGTTTCTTGACTTCATGTCAGCTCAGGAATATCTCAAAACCATTGTAGTATCATTATTGTATGAATTGGTCAGAAAAATCCAGAAGGGCCTCCTTGCGCCCCCTTGGATTGCCTTATCTGAAAAATCACGTAATCAATTCGAGATATTGAGCTGAGCAATCGATCCAAATGGAGAAAATTTTCTTTGCAATGAAAGCTAAATTTTGAAATGTATTTTTGAAATGTCTGTTGCAATTGTGGCATTTATCATCGAATATACGCTCGTCAATGACGATGCTTTAAGCTTTTTTGACTTTTCCAAGAAATATGCTAGCAGTACCTTTTCTTCTGTACATTTTTTTACGTTCC